CCAAATTTAATCATTTTAATATTCATAAAATAAGATAAATCTAAAAATAGCTTTGAATTTAATTCTTTATTATAGTTTAATCTATGGTTTTCTCTAATCTGCAATAATCCGTACATTTGCGGCTGAATATACACCAAGCAAAAATTATGTTCATGAAAGTAATTTGGGCTATTCACAACATTGTCATAATATATGAATATCATAAACATATAAAATTCGTATGACAGTGACAAGTGGTAGCATTATGACTGTCATATATTTATGACATTTATTTATGACGATTTATGGAATCGCGCAATTGTTTTAATTACTTTTTTTTTAATAACATTTTATGATTCACTTTGTGGATACTAAATTTAATGAAAATAACACTACTAAATATAACCGCAGTAACTATTAAAAATATTTTTTAGTATGCTTAATATATTTATATTAATTTAAAAACAATAATTAATTAAATTCGTGTGTAATTAAAAACAGAATTTTTAAAATTTTGTATGCAATTTTGTAGACCCATATTAGAACATTGTTAACATTTTATGCAAAATAGATATAAAAAAAAACAATAAAAATAATTGACTAATATTATTTACAAATTATAAACAAAAATTTTAAAATTTTTGTTATATAAAAAAATTACTTAAAAAAAATTTAATAAAAATGAATAAAATTGATTGAATATATAAAATATAATAAATTTTATTTATTTGTAAAAACATTTGATATGAAAGAGATTTATATTGTATTACTAATGTTAAATAGATTATTTGTAAAATTATATAAATTAATTAATAAACACTAAAATATAAAAATTGTATTTTTTTATAGTACGTTATAACAAAGAGACATGTTATTTATATATAATAAAAAAAATCAATTAGTAGGCATATGCACTTAATTACTTATTTAGACCTTTAGGCTATATGGTTGCTACAAGAAACCAAAACTTGGTACCTTTAAATTGGCTTCTCTGGAGGATGAGTCTGCCTATCACTACCTAGTGAAACACTTATTTCGTAGTTATTTATCATCATTATTTAAAAATATTTAATAGCTGGTAGTGGGTCTTCATATAACCACAAAGAGTGTTTGTCTTCAAAGTGTCTTCAATTTTTAGTCACATCTTATGGAGTTCTTAAAAACATTGATCCAAGTTTTGATAGGTATGTATATTAGTTTTGATATTTCTTTAGGTATTATAGATTCAATTACATTTACATTATTATAAAGTATTATAGATATTATAGCATTTCAATGCCATATGTTTTGAATAGATAAATATTAATAACTTATAAAGTTTGAATGGATTTAAGTAATTGTATAATTTGTTAAAAATTAATTAATAAAAAAAATTAGTAGACAGGTTATTTATTAACTGTTTAAATACTTTTATATTCAAAAAGGTAACCACAAAATAAAAATTTGTACATATGTTTATTTTCGTGTCTTTAACCCAGAAATCATCTCCATCGATAACGCTTTGATGCGAGAAATGCTGTTTATGATCGCTACTATATAGATCTTAGGTATTTTGAAATAGGAAGAAAAAGTCATAAATAGATTGTGATCACTATGACGTGTATTTTTATTAACTAACAATTGCAGTTAAGTGACAATTTTATCATATGTACACAAAGAGAGATTTAAATATTTATCTTGCTAATTCATATTATATGTTATAGATTGCTCACGCTCAGTAAATCGAAGTTTATTATTTGCTACAGATTTTGTTGCTAAGTAAACACATGACAGTTGGTTATTTTTTGAAACTATGGATTAAATTTATGACTTTGTACTAAGCAAAGCAAGTCATTATTATTTTCAATGTGAATACGAATTATTTATTTAAAAAAAATAGGCTATTTATGCACCCCGACCTAAAAGATCTATTGTGCGCCTATAGGCCCAACTAGGACAATTTTAGACTATTTATAAATCTTATAATTGCAGTGGGCTTAATTTTACCTATTTGATTTGGGACCAGGATCCCGCTACCAAGGTAATCGAGTCTACGTCTTGCCACCGCTGGGCAGTTGCATAGAACATGTTCCGATGTTTCCTTCTCCTCATGACAGAGTCGACAGGAATCACTTTCTACCGCACCTATAATCTTCATGTGGTAATTAAGTCTACAGTGCCCTGTAAGAAGTTCAGTGTAGATTTTGATATCATTTCTGCTAAGGTTGATGATAGCATCAACTTTGATGTGTTCAGGATCAATGAATCTTTTTGACTGTCGCATGCCTGTTTGGGCTCTCCAGTGTTCAAGTAGATGCTGTTTCTCCCGTTCACATAATAAGTTGTTTGTGAAGCTATTTGTTACCCCGCAGAAGGGCTCTGGCCCAATGAAAGGAGTACATGCACCCTTCTTTGCTAATATGTCTGCTAATTCATTGCCCTCATGCCCCTCGTGTCCCGGTACCCACATAAGAGTAACATAGTTCCTCGATGCTAGGGTGTTGAGAAGTTGAAAGCATTCCCAAACCAGCTTTGATTGGAATAAGGATTTTGCTAAAGATTTTAGAGCTGCTTGGCTGTCTGATAGAATGCATATGTTGGTACCTCGGGTGCCCCTACGTATGCATTCTCTTGCACAAAGCTCTAAGGCATGGACCTCTGCCTGAAAAATGGAAGCAGTTTTTCCCATTGCGATTGCTTTATGGAAGTTTGGTCCCATAACTCCTGCTCCTGCACTGCCATTATCCATTTTGGACCCATCAGTATACCATAATTGAGAGCCCTGCTTTAAGTTTATTTTATTATTTCTCCAAGTTGATCGGTCACTAATGACCACTTCGAATTCCCTGGAGAAAGCTAATTTTCTATTCATCTTGTCGAAGACCTTAAGGCACGAAGAATTCCAGATTTCATCTAGAATCTTTGCGTGTCCTGTCAGATTGCCCTCTTTAAGATTACCTAGATAAGGAAGCCTTAGTGCAGCACTGGTCGCAGTCCTTTTAACTGTAATGTGTAATGGGGTGAGTCCAGTGAGCATTGCTAGGGCTTCTGTGGGGCACGTTCTCATTGCTCCCGTTACGCTTAGACAGGCTGTTCGATGAATCTTATTGAGAGTCATCTTAGCCTTTGTCTGATTTACCTTTGGCCACCATGCCAAAGAAGCATAGGTGATCATCGGTACTATTACGGTCTTGTACGACCAAGCCATCATTTTTGGTCGCAGACCCCATGTTTTACCATACAGTCTTTGGCACGCATAAGTTGCTCTTAGAGCTTTGCCAGTTATATATGATAAATGGTTTTTCCAAGTAAGAGTTTTATCTAGAATTACTCCTAGATATTTCATTTCCTCAGATAGTATTAAGCCAGTGTCCCCTAACTTTAAGGTCCCTAGACTCATCTTCCTTCTTCTGGTGAAGGGTACTACATTTGTTTTATTCGGATTAATCGAGAGTCCTTTCTCTTGACACCAATTTTGAGTGATATCAAGAGCTAGTTGCATACGATCGGATATGGTGGAGTCAAATTTGCCTCTAACCATGATGACTAGATCATCTGCAAAGCCCTGAACTTCATATCCGAGGTCACTAAGAGACTGTAGGAGTTCGTCAATGACCAATAGCCATAGGAGTGGCGAAAGAATGCCTCCTTGAGGACATCCTTTGGTTGACTTGACAGTTAATCTCTTCGTCCCCATTTCAAAGATTATCGTCCTATTTTTCAGCATATTGAGAATCATGTTATGATCAGTCTATGTATTCCTTTCCTGACCATTCCTGCCTCAATTGATCTGAATGTTGCATTATCAAAAGCTCCTGTAATGTCAACCGATGTGCAGAGAGCTATTTCCTTACCGTCTAAAGCCTTCTCGATTTTACTCGTCAGACTATGTATAGCGGTGTCGGTCGATTTGCCCGACTGATTAGCATACTGTTCAATATGTAGAGGTGAAGCTTTAATATAGACTTCCCTGATGTATTGATCTAGAATCTTCTCCATTGCTTTAAGCAGGAAAGAAGTAAGGCTAATGGGCCGAAAAGCTTTTGGCGTGTGGTCCGCCTTTTTGCCTGCTTTCGGTATGAAAGCTACCCTAGCCTTCGTCCAATGTTTAGGTATTACGCCTAATTCTAGACTTATCCTAAATAAGTTTGTTAATATCGGTGCTAATATATCAACGCCTTTCTGAAGAAGGCACGGTTGTATATTATCGATACCAGGTGATTTAAACGGGCTGAAAGTGGAAATGGCTCATTTAGTTTTATTGACTGTAAAGATTTTACGGGCCAGTGAAAGATCTCTTCGTGTAACCAATAAGAAACGAGTATCCTCGATGGTTTCCGTAGTCTCAGTATACATGGCGCAGCCTGGAAAATGAGTGTCCAGCAAAAGCTGTCCCGTTTCTTCCAGACTTACCGTAAAGCTTCCGTCAGCCTTCTTTAATGTAGAGAGGCTATTTGAGTGGTCTTTATTTAGAGATTTCTGGAGTCTCGCAGCCGCAGGAAGTATTTCAATCTCCTCGCAGTGCCTCCTCCATGATTCCCTCTTTGATTTCCTCAATTCCCTATTGTAAGCCGTTAAGGCACACTTGTAAGATGCCCAGTCCCCATTGGACTTGGCTCTATTAAGGAGCTGGCGGGCTTTTTTGCGTAAAATATCTAGTTCTCTATTCCACCATGGGACTTTCCTAGAACGTTTCTTTTTGATAAGTTCGCAGCTATTTTCAAAAGCCCCTGTAATAATATTTTCTAGTTTGTTAACCTCAAGATTTAGTTCCTGACAATTAGTAATCCTATTCCCAAGACAACTAATGTTTTGTTCTAAATAGAAGTTATATAGAGACCAATTGGTCTTCCTAACATTTCTTATTTCGAAAGTGTCTTCAACTTCCCCTTCCAAATCAAAGCGTATATATCTGTGATCTGATAAGGAGTTCTCCTCCAACACCCTCCAATTTGAAATGTTATTTGATATAAATGCGCTGGCTAAAGTGAGATCTAATACCTCTTCCCTTATCGCATTCACAAAAGTAGGTTCGTTACCTTTATTAACTACCATTAAATTGTTAGTTGTGATATAATCAAAAAGTGACTCACCTCGTGTATTGATGTCTGTGCTTCCCCATACTGTATGGTGTGCGTTGGCGTCGCAGCACATTACCCACTGTAGGTTTCGGATACGGCAGTATTCTGTAAGCTGCTGGAGCTCGAGAGACACCGCTTCCTCTGCGTCGCCAGGGAGGTACAGAGATGCAAAAACTATTATTCTCGTCCCCCTAGTACTAGGCACTTCTGCCTGTACCGCCACCAGATCACGCTGTATGAGCTCTGTAATTGGAAGAGATTTAATGGTTTTGTTAATCATTATCGCCATTCTAGGACGATCAACATTATTATCATAGATTAACTTACACGTTTTTGTCTGTAGACCGTTTATGCGCCCCTTTGTGGCCCATGGTTCTTGGATGGCCACAAAATCCAGACAGTGTTGTTCCACCAGGGCACTGAGCCTGTATGAAGCTGCTATAGCCCGGTGGAGGTTGATTTGGAGGCAATGAAGTTGCCTCCAAGAGTTTTGCGGATGTGGCGGAGTCCGGGACATTATATCCCAGACTGGCCCTTGCGGACCTTGCCGCCCTTCGTACCGCGCAGCAATTCCGCGGCCTCCGGGTCTTTTCTTTCCCATTTCCTCAGACGACCAGAGAGAGCGGAAGGTTTTCGGCCCTGGGCACGGATTCTGCCCCCTCTCAAGGGTGGTCCCCCGGAATTGAGACCCGTTTTCGGCTTCTGGTTGCTTGACTGAGCACAAGCCGCAGATGTTGTTGGTCGCTCATCTTCAACCACTTCCTTTGCTCTGTTTCCTTTATGTCTTGGTCTCAGCACGGCACTGCTAAGTCCATAGAAGACTTTATTGCCCAGCTTTCCGACCATTTCGGACGACATAGGATCCAGAGCAATCGCCATCTCGACGATGTCGCCCTTATTGAGCCTGTGGAGTACCCGCCAGTCCCTGACACGCATGCCCGAATTTTGGCACTCAATTTGTCCCAGAATACGGTCGCTTTGCCAGGAAGCTGAGCCTGGGAAGTAGCCAACATAGATTTCAGACTTTGGCACTTCTGCCTCGTCCACTACCTTCAGCTGGGCTCCTTCCCACGGCTTCAAGGCTGGGATTGTCTCTTTAGACCAAGTTACAGTCTCGTCGTCCAGACAGTTAATGGTAAACCATCCGGGCTTTAGACTGTAACCGGCGAAATGAGGCTTCACCCCAGGAGCTCGACAAGTTTCGTACATCTTGTCGAGGATGCATTTCTGCACCTTGCCAATTTCCTCATTGGACCAAATGCCCTCTGGGAAATTATGCGGTAGTATACCGATCTTCTTAGAGCGAACAGTCTCTGCTAGGGTAGGCTTTGAACAATGGTCTTCGGAAGAAGTACTGTATTTAGCCTGCCCCACAGATACCGTCGCCACCTCTTTACTGGGACCAGGTTTGCCCCCGTGTGAGGTCTCTACTTCCTTCATCCTACTGAAAATCGGCAAAGCAGTTGCAGGCACTGTTGATTTATTATCAACTTTCTTGCCCTGTAGTGCAATCCGCTTTGTCGGTTTTGAGCTTGATGTTGGTGTAGAGCTGTCCGATCGGGATCTTTTTGGTGTTGCCTGCCCTTCGTTAGTCGCAGTGGCCGGCTTTACTGCCAAGGACCTTGCTGTTTCCAGCGGGATGCCCTTGGCAAGTAAAGCCTTCAACCTTTTGCGTCCAGCGCCGGATAGCTTCACCCTCGTTTGAGTCTTTTTAGTTAGACCAGGCTCCAGAAGATCTCTCTCCTGTTCCGAGGAGATAGACATCCCAGCCGACTCTTGGCTAAGTGGAATGTCCATTTCCTCCGGCTTGTCGGGTAGAGGACCAGGTGCCCTCTCCAACAAGTCGTGGTCCATTTGTTCACTGACGATGGTACCAGGTGCCCCCTCGTTCAGTGATAAGTTTTGGCTGTGTAAAGCCATATTTTGCACATTTAAAGGTGTGCAGTCCATAGAATTGAAAATGTTATTAGGTTCCATACAAAGTAAGTTTAAATAAACCGTGCAGGTTGGTCACCCATGAGCGCCCCCATGGGAAGGACAAATTGAAACCGTAGGTTTGCCAGACCTGGTACGGAGTTCGCTATTAAGCTTGACTCTACCCTGTCAAGCAAGTTCACCAGCATAGCTGTTCCACTGTGAGTTTAGGGGGTTTGTTTGGGGCAATAGGTATGTTCATATTCCAGTCTATCAAGACCTAGCCTTGGGAGCCTAGAATATGTACAGACCCTGCCCTAGGGAGTTTTCCTTCTCCCCCGCCCGACTATCGGCGACCCACAAACAGCAGAGACATGACCGTACTGAAGGCGAGTCATTGGTCTGATAGATAGCCGCACTTTCCTATAGGACTGACCAATTAGCAAGTGTCCATTAAAGTCCACTAGCTAGCCTCAACGACTGATCAGGAATCGTAGATACCTACTTTCAACCTGTGCGTTGGCGGCAGTTCTTAGTTTGTGTGCTGAATCATGTCACATGAAAAATCATCATGTCATGACTTCCATATGACATGCTTCAGTCCACAATAAGCCCCTACACCACGACAAGGTGACTACCTAGCAGGGGTAGGTACTACTTTGTACTAAGCAAAGCAAGTCATTATTATTTTCAATGTGAATACGAATAATATCAGTACAATTGTGACACTGCTTGTGACTCCTGCGATGAGATTAAGAAAGTTAGTTGACAAGTCTTTTTCTCAACTTATAAGTTTCAATAACATAAGTCCGTTGATCTCTTGTTGTTATTGTTATTCTCGTTTTTGTTTTCCATGTGTAAATGTGCCTAATTCGATCTTTTTACAAACGATAGATCACCAACTCAAGTAGTAAGTATAACACTTAAACGACGATGACGACTTATCTTAGTCAAATGCTTGAAACCAAGTTCAGTTGGAAGACACATGTGAAGAAGAAACCAGAAGAATTTGATTTGATCAGATAACATATTTTCTAATTAGCAGGCACTCGATCCTCTCAATATAAAACAAACCTTTGGTATATAAATAAATTCTTAATTTCAACTGGACATATGGCATACAATTGTGGACGTATACTAGTGAAAGCAATAATGCAATAAATTTGCGTTTTAAAAACAAAAACGTATGCTTCATAAGTAATGCTTTACAATATATTAGGAATTGTTACCTCCACGCGATATATGTATGCTAACTGTTATCAATGTAGCTAAAGAATTCGCCAAAGAATATAAATAATGACTTTCACGTTTTGGTAATGTTGAAGCATCTGTTTTAAATCACGGGAATACTCAACGACAAACACCTCGTTTAATTTTTATATATCTAGAATTTAACCAAACAAAATTACTTGTTAGTATTTCCTTTATTGTGTTATACTAGTAGTTATTATGAAATGAAACTGTAGAGAGGTTTCAAAAAGTAGAGTGAATTGCAACAACGAGAATTTTATTTTTATATTACTCTTAGTTAATTAAATTTTTGGCGACCATACAGCTGTTTCGAGTATTGTCAAATACCCAACTGACCCAAATCCGTACTTGACTGGTATGTTTAAACTTGAATAAATATATCAATAAATTCACCAGCTGTAGAATCATTGAATTAATTAAATATATTTATATGAATTATTATTAAATATCAATACTATTCTTTTGTAGAGTCATTATTTATTGTATGATTTTTTTACTGGTTCTTCTGTATAGAAACTGATCTAGTAATAGAAGAAAAATAATCCGGAAAATGTATAAAACACCTTAGCTAATCCGAAAATATTATAATCATTAAATAAAGACACTTTAAAATAATAAAATTCTCTTCACATCATCCTACTAGCAGAATCATAGCAGGCACAAAGGCATTGACACTTGAGGAAGATAAATGTTTGTTTTCAATTATTATTGTAAAATAGTAGGGAACCTACAAGATTGCTTAGAGTTGGTTAGTTAGTTGGTTGCAGTGGCAGGCCATTAAATAACTTTCCAGGTACCTCAATAAGCGCTTTTACGCTAATTTCCAGATTAAATTCATTAAGTCGAATTTAGATAATTTCATAGATAATAGCTCTCTCGTCTTTACAGATGAACAGTCTGATAAGCTAAAAAAGAAATATCTTTCTAAAAACATATTTCTTCTGGACCGGGTATTCACAGCGAAAGTGTTTAATTGTTTTTTTTTCCAGCAGGTTTCCACAACTTTTGCAGTAAGAATTATGAGCAATGCACAGTTTCTCTGCATAGGTTCCTAAACACCAATGACTAGAAAAAAAATGCAGTAAGCATTGCAGTTGTCACATGCAAAGGCTTACTTTGATAAGTTCCCAAGATCTAGTTTTATTGTAGGTGGGTTATGTTAACCGGGAAATTTAGAATTAGTTTATATGTTTCTTTCAAATTGTAATTACACCGTTTATTTGTTTATAAAATTGTTTGTAAGCAAGTTTTATTTTTGAAATGCATTCTATAATTCGTAAACTTTTATTAATAAAAAATATATTATAAATTATTATAAGAAAACATGTTGAAAGTTATCATATTACATATGATTAATCAATGATTCTAACTCATATAAATATAATTAAAAATACATTTATTCATATTTCACTAAAACCCAAAAAACAATATACATATCTACGGTCAAAGTCTATGTGGTTCACTAACTTTGAACTAAAAACATATCATATTAAAAGAAATATTAGCTGTATTGTAAAATAAAATAGTATATTAATGTTTAAAGTTACTTTGAGCATTCGAAATTTGGTGAAGTAAAGTAATAATAGTAAATTTGAACATTATTATTTATTATTATTATTTAATCCTTTTATTCCTAGGTGGAACAGAGGGCCGTAACAAATAGTTTCCATTGAACTCTATCTAATGCAAGACGTTTTGTTTCACTCCAGCTCTTTCCAGCATTTCTTAATTCGGCTTCAGTTTGTCGTTTCCAAGTGTTGCGCGGACGCCCTGGTCTTCTACTGCCTTGAGGGTTGAAATCTAAGACATTTCTTGCGATATCATCAGCGGGTTTTCTTAACGTGTGGCCAAGCCATTTGTATTTACGCATCATTATTTCATCAGTTATAAGAGGCTGATTCGTTCTAAACCAGAGCTCATTATTGGTTATGGTTGCTGGCCAGAATACATGAAGGATGCGTCGTAGACAACGATTGGCAAAGGCTTGTAGCTGTTGTGCGTCTCTTGCCGTTAGGTTCCAACTCTCACTACCATATAGTAAAGTTGATTTTACGTTTGCATTGTACAGGTGTATCTTAGTGCGTTGTGTGATGTTGGATGAACGCCAGATTTTGTTAAGGGTTCCAAACGCTTGCTTCGCTTTCGATAGCCTGTACTGTATGTCTTGCCGACTGCCGCCGTTGTTCGAAATGTAGCTTCCCAGATAGCAGAAACTTTGTACATCTTCGATGTAGGAGCCATCTAGTTGAAACTTCGTTAAGCAGTTTGAATTGAGACGCATAGACTTGGTTTTGTTGATATTGATTGACAGACCAGCTGCCAATGCACGCTTTGCGATGTTGTTTAACGATATTTGCATCTGGGAAAAGTTATGCGTTAGTAAACAGATGTCATCAGCGTAATCGAGGTCAGTAAGTTTGTTATGAAGGCCGAATGATATGCCATGGTTTGTGCTCATAGCTTCCGACATAACCACATCTAAGACTATATTAAATAGTATAGGTGAAAGAATGCAACCTTGTCGGACGCCAGACTTAATTTGGATTTGCCCGCTGAGACGCCCTTCGTGAAGTACTGAGCAGTGCGCGTCAGAGTACAAGCCTTTTACTAAATTTATTAATTTACTCGGTATACCTTTACACTCTAATGCATACCAGATGGTGGTATGGAGAAGTGTATCGAATGCACGTTTAAAGTCGATAAACAGCAAGTATAGGGGAGATCGCCATTCGCTAGACTGTTCGACTATTATTCGAAGGCTGTTTATGTGGTCGGCACATGATCGATTATGCCTAAATCCTGCTTGCTCGGCTCGTAGTGTAGGCTCAGCGGCCGAAGTTAAACGTTTATGTAAGATTTGAGCAATAACTTTATAAGCTACATTTAGTAAAGTTATGCCTCTCCAGTTGGAGCATTCCATCAGGTTACCTTTCTTTGGTATATTAATAATGATGCCGTCTTTAAGATTAGGCGGTAATGACTCTTGGGACCAGAAGTTGTTGACAATTGGTTGAATAATTTGAGCAGCTGAAATTTTGTCTGCTTTGAGCAGTTCGGGGGCAATATTGTCCGGACCAGCGGACTTACCTGCTTTAAGCTGAGTTATTGCTGCCTCAATTTCACTGATGTTAGGTACATCTGTGTTTATATCGTTGCGAGCAACATGTTCGTGGTGTCTACTACATAGTTCCTGCTGAGGATAGGTGTTGTTTCCCGCTAGGAGATTTCTGTAGTGATCTTCCCAAACTTTTAGCTGATCTTCGGTAGAGTGTACTAGTTCGCCTCTGGTATTTTTTATTGGCTTTGCAATCCTGTGTTTACGTCCCACCATAGCTTTAGTGATGTTGTGTAGGTCTTTGAGCCTATGTGATTCGCTTGCTTTTTGAGCTTCTGTTGCTAAATTGTCGAGCCATCTGCGCTTATCGGCTCTAGCGCTGCGTTTAACTTTGCGGTTGGCAATACTGTAGTTGGCTTGTGCCTGCTGCTTTGTTTGGCGCGTTCTTGCCCTGTTAACCTTTTCTTTTTCTCCTTTGCGCGCTTTTATAAGATTCCACGTATGTTCGGTGATCCACGGATTATTTTGACGTTGAGGAATACCGACACTTTGTTGTGCTGCTTCAGTGAAGGCACATTTTGCTTGTTCCCAATAAGTTTCGGCTTCAAAGATTTCTTCTTCTAGTGGCAAGGGATTAGGGATTTGGGCCGATAAAAGAGATTGATAGTTATTTTGAACAGTAGGGTTGTCGAGTTTAGCGAGGTCGAACCGTTTCCTTTTGAATTGTGGCTTTCTAAAGACCGCATTTAATTTGAGTTGTATTTCACCGATTAGTAGATGGTGGTCAGAAGCCATGTCTGCACTTCTTTTATTTCTGACATCACATAATGAATGTCTCCACATTTTGCTGATGGCAATGTGGTCGATTTGATTTTCTGTTGCATTATCTGGGGAAACCCAAGTGACTTTATGCAAATGTTTGTGCGGGAAGAGACTACCTCCTATGGTGAGGCCCATGGTGTTACATAATTCATAGAAACGCTCCCCATTATCGTTCATTGTGCCGAGAGCATGTTTACCCATCACTTGCTTTCTTCCATTGTTATCTGGCCCGATTTGTGCGTTGAAATCTCCCATGACGAGCTTTATTTCACCTCTAGGGCATTTATTTAAAACAGAGTATAGGGAGTCATAAAAATTTTCCTTGATTTGTGGGTCGGTGACTTCAGTAGGCGCGTAACACTGTATGCATGTGAGGGTTCTGGCTCGAGTTTTAAATTTTGCCAGAATTATTCGGTCGCCATGTGGTTGCCATTCTATGAGCGCTTGTTTAGCTTCTTTGGATAATAGAAAGCCTACTCCACTTTCTCTTTTTTCGCCTGTGGCCTTTCCAGAGTATATGAGTGTAGCGCCGGAGGATGTTTTGTATTCGCCGCAGCCATTCCATCTTACTTCGCTTAGCCCGATGAATAAAAGATTGAGACGTACAAATTCACGTTCAAGTTGAGCAAGTTTTGATGTTTCTGCTAGAGTTCTTATATTCCAGGTTCCGAATCGTTTCCGTATTTTCATTCCAATAGTCGTCATCAAAGGGAGCCGTTGGTTATAATTATTTGTTTCGGTTTCAGTAATCGTGTAGATTCAGATGAACGAGTGATTAGCCCATGCATCCTATACTGGTACTGGGGCTGCCAGTTAAGGCCACCAGTCAGACCTTCAGACTCGAGAGTCCGAGAAAACGGTGGGCTTCTTAGCGAAGATTGATGATGCTGTATCTTGCCTACATCCCGGGACGTCATGAAGGAAAAAGACCATCCGGGTCGCGAACCGTTGTGGATTGCTCTTAGCTTCAGATGCTCCTCTTTGACCTTACCGGCAAGGGAGGCCCTACCAGTAGCTACGCTACCGCCGGCATCGCTCTCAGGATCATTGCACCCTACTAAGCCCCCTCGCCACGACAAGGCCACAATCCCCGAGAGGAACATAGTTCCAGAAATTTGATTGGTTTGGAAATAATATTCCAAGAAACGAAAAGAAAAGACCTTGAAAAAAATGTACTTATAATAAATATAATTTTAAATAATAAATGAAAACTAAGTTGGGTTTATATTAGCAATTAATATGCAACTTAGGATGCAATTTGATAACACTTCGAATATTAGAATGGGTAATAAAAGTTCTCCAAATCATTACGATATTTAAATTTGGACTCTGTACTTATACTTTAATGATGATAAAATATATAAAATTATTCATTTACAATTAATTGCTTTGAATGTAATTTTAATGATAGTTGAATTTTTAAATACTTTATTCATTATCATTTATGTAAAAATTGAAATTGTGCTCCGTATATTAATTACAAATGTAATCAATAATTATATATATACCTATATACATACATAATGAAATTACGATTTATTCATGCATAAAATATATTGTATTCTATCATCATGATAAGATTTCCAAAATAACATTTACGAATAATTATTATGTTATTTTATACACGGATTGATTTATTTTTTTTATATTTTTTTTTTTTTTGATTAGGTTTAATAAACACTGATAAAAAATGTTGAACAAAAATATTTACTAATATCTTAAAATTGTTCAGAATTAGATTATTGCCTTTTTATGTACTTCTGATTTTTTTTTTTTTTGTTGAATGTATAGGTTTACCATAAAATTTTTTGGATATGTGATAAATACTTGTTCAGAATTATCTTTAAATATACATTAAAATTAATTTTAGTTTGTGGATTTCAAATCTTGATCCACTGTGCAAGTCAAGTTTAAATTTAATTGAATTTTGAGTATTTGCGCTGCTGAATGCCGTCAAAAATTTAGTTTATTCTTTACCGCTTCGCTTGACTGTTCGCTTTCTAGTAGCCAAAAAGTTATAGTTTGACTTAGTTTATAAAAAATAAACAAGTTGGTTAGATTCATAAAAATATAAATAATTTAGTAATTTATTCTAAAAAGAATGGTTAATAAAACAGAATTGGAAGCTAAACTAAATGAATTGCAAAAATGGTTTCAAGATAATCCAAAATTACCTCAAGAAATCGGTAATAATAATTTTACTTACTAAGTCGAAGATAAGATCGTGTAATATTAAGGTTAATGCTTACCAAACTAATTTTGTGTTCTATAAATTCTTTATAATAACTGATATACATATATTTATATAGTAATATATATATAGATATAAAATAAAGCAAATCAATAAATATATAGTGATAGTAAATCCATTAAAAATTATGAGTCCATTTAACTGTCCTATGGATGACTTCAGTTATAATAATACGGTAATTTAAAATTAAATCACCTATTAAGCGTGTCTAAAAATACCCCGCCCATATTTGTTTCCCTATCTTGACCCATCTGTATAAATATGGATCCACTCACCGCTATTTAACAGTATAGAGTTGTAATTCTATTTAAGAGAGTTAAAAATGTTTAATACAGTTGTGGTTAGACTAATGTATTGTCTATATGTTTATAATTCTTTCAGAATTACGAATAGGGCCTAATAAGGTTTGTCCAACTAATAGTGGTATCGATTATTTTTGATATGTCAGTATGTTTTTTTACAATTACTAAATGAGCAGAATGTGGATTCTTCCACCAAACAGATGTATCGACTATGTTTCATAAGTCAATAATGGCATTTTTGTAGATTCATAATCCTATTTATTAAAATACTTTTCTTACTTATGTGAGTAAACTCTTACATAATAAATAAATGGGCCTTATGTAGGTCCTTCTACTCAAAGGAGATTCGATTATGTTTGATTTGGCAATAAGAAAATGTATGCAGATTTATAATCTGGAGATTTATAATACTTATATAAATTGTTAATCCTTTCTATTATAACACTTCAGTTTCTTGTTTATTTGCAAGATTATTCAATAATTATTTAAAAAAAAGTAAGTTACAATTTTTCACTTATTTTTAAAAAGACTAAACAATAATCTTATTAAAAAGATTTATTGATAATTCATGGATCTATCAATTCAGAGACTTGAATTTGCAATTTTATTCTTAAATTTTCTTTAAGTGATAAGTTTGTCTGTACTTATAGTATTTGCTGTAAAATTATATATAAATAAAATAATTGATAGATAAAAATAGATAAGAATAAAAACCAGATGTTAATGCAGATTTAGCATATTGTGTACAATTCTATGTTTACAATGAAATGCATAAATTATTATATTTACAATAGATAAGTTAATTAATGAAAACCACTATGACCTCTGTCGTGAAATACAAAATTCACTCTAGAAAAAAAAATTTATCATCCGGCTGCATTTAGATTAATACGAGTATATGCAGATGTGTCTTTATTACTATAACTACTGTGAAAAAATGTGTGAAACTATCTTTCAAATATTCCAAAAAAAATAAATATCTAAACATTATATTTAATTACATTAAAACCATAAAGCATGACTTTTTAGTATTACAGCGTTACTGTTGACATACGGAAATCTCATCGAATCGCCTCTTGTAATTCGATATAGCATCAGTCTTTGTTATATATATGTATATATATATATATATATTTATATACTAATATCTACTAGTGCCAATAAAAATATTATGTAATTTTTGATGAGCGGATACAAATTTTATAATTGTTTATTAGATGTTCTGATTAGACATTTAAATTTAGATTTAGATTTTTATGAAAAGTGAACTGCTCAGCAGATTTTTTTATTAATAATCAACTGGCTCCTACTATTTTACATAAAGTTCTTAGTAACACTAAGTTGCTAATTTCTCTTCTGGAAAATAGTCGTATTGGTATGGGTTAAAAAAATAACTTATTCTGATTCAATTTTATTCCATTTCAAAAGCTCGGGTAACATTTATTTCGCTCCATTATTTAAAATTTATGCTACTGTTATTTAGACTAGAAGACCTAGTTTATTTAATCAATTATAATAATGCTTCAATATAAACAATAAATTTCTAATATTAATTAAAACTTTATTAATTTTAAATTAAAGTATATAAACAAAAAAGAAACAGCATGTCAATTTTTTAATATATAATAGGTCCACTCCATTTATTACTATTTGAGTCTTATAAGAGAAGTACATATTTTATTCTATGAGTGAATGATTTTATTTTTATATTTATAACAAAATATGCCACACATGAGAATACCTTCCTAGAAGATACACTATTAATATAAAATCACTGCGTACAGACAGAAAATATCTATAACAAACTTCTGACATATCAAAGCAAACAGTACCAAGAATCTGTCACAAGAAAATTATCGCTCTCAGAACTTGACACGATGGATATAATAAAATATCCACGTTTATTATAGATACGAGATAGTTAAGGGATGTCTGAAAAGGAGGTTTGAGTTTTCCATGGTGCCAGAACTGGGGTTTAGCCAAAGGGAATTCCAAGCTTCTTACTAGGGTCTGCTATTATTATTATTTTTGGTAAATGATTATTTTTGTAACAAAAAACAAAAACGATATTTTAAATATATTTTATATTATCGAAATTAATAATGGATATTAGATTGGTTAAGCTTTAGTAATAATCTCAGTAATCCACTTAGGCATATTAGACTATTGTTTTCCCGTATAAAACATCTATCTAAAACATATATCATATGGAAAAATAATCTTTAAGATGCTTCTTAAAAAAATTGAAGAGAAGATTTAATTTTCCAGCTTAGTTCACAAGTTGACAGTCACCTATCAGTCACTATAAAACTTATGTCTTTATGGAGCTATTCAAAGACTTAGGTAAAAGTATTCTAATTTAAGAGAGGTTCACTTCCGTGTAGATATTTGCATATTATCACATCTTCCTTTTTTGTATTAAATTTAAAAATAAGAAACGTTATAATAGCTGTGTGCATGATAGTAAATCCATCATACCGAATGTTTTTCTTAGACATCCTATCCTAAAAATACTATTAAGAATAAAACTTATTAATTAAGCGGATCCTCTTTTCTCTGTATCACTGTCGTAATATAGGACTTCATTGCAAAGTACACTGAAGATGTCTAATACATATAAAGATAACCGTAATGTAAATATTTTTCATAAAAATTAAAATATAATTAAAATATTTAACACAAATTAATAAGGCCTAAGCCCGGTAATAATCAAAATATTATAAAACTTTATATAAAAAGAAATAATTCTTTTTTAAATATATTAGCTATGGGTATAATACATGTATAACAAAATAAATTAATAAATATTTCTTTTGATTTTTTTGCTAAATTTAACGTTTGTAGATCGTTATCTTCTTAAGCGTTTCCTAAAGTGTATGTATACTGATGTGGAGGAAACTAAAAAATTAATTGAAATTAATTATTCGCAAAGAAGTAAAAATCCCCATATATTTATCGATCGTGATCCTGATGATGAAGCAGTAAAACAAATTCGGGAAGTAACGTAAGTATGAATTAGTACAAGCATGAATAACAAAATAATATACATATTATGTATAAAATACTTTAAGTGATATAGTGGCGTTGCCAGGTTTAACCCCAGATCGCTGTAAAATACTCTGCTATCGTTTAGTTGATCATGACGCAAATAAGGTATAATGATACTAACATATATATACATGAAGTTATAAATACACATCATAAAGTATGTAGATGAACAGCATTGCAGAATGTAAACAATTTTTCATGTTATCCGATACTCGTTTTACAATGAATGATTTGGATATAGAAGAGAGTCTCAGTAAAACCAACAATGGTTCTGATACAGAATTAGATAATATGGCTGATGGAGATATTCAAATAGTAGACATATCTGGTTATACAATGCGCCATATATACAAAGTTTCAATCAGTACAATGCGTATGCATATGAAGTTCCTGCAAGAAGCCTATCCTGTGCGATTGCGTGCTATGCATATTATTAATTGTCCTTCATATTTAAACAAATTAATTGCTGTGTTAAAACCCTTCATACGAGAAGATGTCTACAAATTGGTATACGCTTATCTTGTTTATATTTAATATTATTTAATGTACAAATATTTAATCATTATTTTATTAGATACACTTTCATACAACTGGACTGGATACCTTATATGAACATGTACCACGTGACATGTTACCTGAAGAATTTGGAGGTAGTGCAGGAAAATTAGCGGATATTAAAGCTAAATGGACAGAAAGAGTTCAAGAGAAAAAGTGTGTTCCCATTTTGTTTTTATAATTGCTGAAATCACTAAATTACAATTATTTTTTTAGAGGCTATTTAATGGATGAGAGGCAATGGAAAGTCGAACAAGTAGAATCTTCAAGTCGCTGGTCTTGGTTTTAGTTATTAATATTTTGAATTTATTATCTCACAATATTTTATTTATTATATGTTAAAATAAATATTAAATAATTAATTAATGTTAAAATTATTCGTCCTATTAATCAGGAATCCGGGTCCCGTTTGTGGTTTAGATCTAACTATAAAAGTTTTTTTTATGTTACTAAAAAAAGTCATTAGTGTGATCGGTTATTGTGTACAAATAAATAGGCCAATTTAATTATTATAAAGCTAATTTAAAGCTTAAAGCATTTTTCTTAATGATATAATATTTTTGAGTATAGTTGATTTAAGACTACGTGCTAAGTTTAGGATCATCTTAATCTTAAAAAAATTTTTTCAAGAGTTTTATTTCTATTACCGTTAAGAATTTTGTGAGCTAATTATCTAAAATTTTTGTCTAATCAGTAAAGCATTATATTATAATTAAAACTGTTGGAAAAATATATATTGAAGTGCTATTTGATTATTATTCTTGAAAGATTAATTTATGCTGTTGGCCACACTAGATGAATTTAACGGGTTAAAAATTTCGCTTGATTGTGTGAATAAGCCGTATGTGTAAGAAAAAGAAAAAAAAAATTTTGCATGTAATGATTTAATTAGATTTTTATTTTTAGAGTCCTTACTGAACTGCAGGTAAATGGCACCTGGTGTTCTTAGTGTATTATATCTTTATTCGTTTTATATTAAATCTATATGCTTAGATTCGATAGTTTCAATAGGTTCGTTTATATGTTTTTAAGATACTTAATAGAATTTATCTATATTCTCTTCAATTTTTTTTTTTAAATACGTATACTTTTATTTATTGTATCTTCTCTTAAAGATTAACAATAAGTTTTAAAACTTTATTACTAAATTCATAAAATTACAATTTTTAGTTTAGCTACACATTGTATAACATATAAAATAAAATAAGTAAACCTTATATTACGGACCTCACTTAAATCAATGGGTTAATTTCTCTTCAATAATGATGAGTCTTATTATTTTGTTTTTTGATGAGTTAATCTATTATGAATGGTTTTCCTAGTTCAAGCTATTTATTTCTATTATATGTGTTCATTTAATTAATATCTTCAGAATAAAATTTTAAATTTGATATATTAATTGATTTTGTTAATAAAAGGTTGTTATTACAAATATAATAATTTATTAATAATTCACGAGTACGTTATATTTGTTCTTTAGTTACATTTTCGAAATTAGCACACTTCTTATATGGAGATAATATAAATAAATCAATTTATACATCCCACATATATAATATATACTTAATTGAACAGTATCCTTAACGAAATGGTGAGTCAAAGAACTTTCGGCTTTAGATGTAATATAATTTTGTGAATATAATTTTATATATTTAATTTTTCAGATTTAATTTCTAAATGTAATTTTATAATATAGTTTTATTACAGGCTAATTAGTAAATTTTTTATTATTGTTATAGATAAAAATTAAGCAAAACCAACTTGAATTATTTTACAACACAGTTTTCCATATTTCGACTTTAATCTAAAGTCATCGTCAGGTAACTAACTATATTATATGAAAACCAATCACCATATAGATATCAACATATATATATGATATATGATATATGTAAATATGTAGAGATGTGATGTTATAAATATAAATTTATACTATAGATGTGATTTCATTATCACAAAGATTTTGCATAATTTTTGTCAATAGAAAGTTCGAAAAATTAATCCATATATATTTGAATTTGATATAATACATACATATATAAGTATTATAAATTTATATCTCTACAATATATTATATCGACAATTGAGATTAGTGGTTATCTAAAAATTTTTGGAGCTTCTTATGTTTGCATATAAGAGTGGGTTATAAAGTAATCACTACAATCTAAATATCTGTATCTAACATATAACTTTATGTTTTTTTACGAGCTTAACAAATACTGACAAAAAATATTTTTGCTAAAATTTTTACAAATTATATATAAAAATAAGTTTTTTAATTTTTTACGTATTTTTTAATTATTTTTAATTGAATGTAACATATATTTAGATTTACTTAAATTTTTTAACTTGCGCTGAAAACTTGTTTCAACTTATTCTCTTGAAAAGCTTGTCAGAACGCAATTTGTGTGGTAAATTTTGAGTTTTTTTCCACTGTGCGATACAAGTTTGAATTTGATAGAATTATGAGTATTTGCACTGCTTAATGCCGTCAGAAATTTAGTTTATTCTCTACCGCTTAGCTTGATTGTTCGGTTTCCATTTGCAGATAAATTATTCATTCGTTAAGTGTATGTAATATAAACAAGTCGGTTCGATTATTAACAATATAAACAATTTAGTAATCAAATCTAAAAAGAATGGTTAACAAATCGGAGTTGGAAGCTAAATTAAATGAATTACAAAAATGGTTTCAGGAAAATCCAAAATTACCACAAGAAATCGGTAATAATTTTACTTAACTTATCTAAGAAAAGATCTTGTCGAGCTGGCGTTACAATTAATAATAAAAAATAATATAAAAAACTTGAAATTTTAATTGCATTAAAATTAAATAAAATTTTTATGCTCAATTGAAATTTTTTTTATATATATGTTTCAGTTATAAGACTATAGCTTTCATATTTGTAAGTCCTAAAATGTGTGTATGAAAAGTGTTAAGCGGCTTCTACAAAGTGTAATCTTAAAACCCTAAAATCAATGGATTATATTATAAACTTAAAATTTCTAATGATATATGTTTTCTATACCTAAAACCACATTTATTATTTTAAAAGTATATAAACCATAGTAATAAAATGCGATTTTGTTATAAAAAAAAACAAGTAAGATATGTAATAAATCAAAAGTAGTGGGGTGTCTAATGTATTAAGCATAGTAATAACAACACAACAATGTATACATTTTCTACAGCGTATGAGTATTAATGAATAAATTTGTGCGTTTTAATCGAATAAAGCTGTAGGTATCATGCTTAAGAAGCCTAATCCAGAAAAACAGTGCGCGTTAGATGAAAAATTATTTTAAAAAAATGTTTATTAGATTATAAGACATTGAAATGAATGAAATTATTTTATAGAACAATGGGTAAATTTTTCAAGTTTAAAAATTATATAAATATGTTTTTGAATTAAGAGTATAAAAATTTGAAATTAAATAGAATAAGTCTCCAATTATTACTATAACTGAGATATTTAAGGTTTTTTAATTTTGTATTTAGATAGATATATGCCATATATGCTTTGACTTTCTATATCCTAATTAATATTTATAAAAGACTCCCATTTTCATACCATTTAAATACTTCCACTTCAGTTTTGAAATTTATGAAAAAATATTTAGAAATATTTATTTTTAATTTTAATCATTAATACATTTAATTTTTATCATTTAATAAAAATTATATAATCAGAAAGAGCAAACTTAATAGTGATTTATAATATAGTATAATTATTGGTAATAATTGGTAATCTATATTTAGTGGACAATGATATATATTAATATATTAATAATTCGATGTTCCTGAGTTTTTCTTGTCACATTTTTGGCATAACTTTGACATAGTAGTACTAGCACGTATATAAAGTTACAATTAACTATAATACTTTATATATGTAATAAAAAAATTTATATAATAAATAAATAAATCAATATTTTAAAGTACAATTTCTAAATTAAATGTCAAAAAATGTTCAAAACTAATATCAAGATTTAAAATAATTTTAATCAAACACTTAAAATAATGAACAATTTATCAACTCAAAAAATGCGTTGAACAAACTTAATAGTGCTTTATAATATTACTTAGTATGCTTATTTTCATTACTATAAATTCTTAGGCACACATTTCTGAATATAGGTAGCTTGCACTTACCAGATAACATTATATATTAATATATTGATAATTAGAAATACTTAAGCTTTCCTTCAGCTTCTTTTGCATATTTTTACCAAAAAAAGACTAAGACGTATAATTATTCTCTAATTTGGACCAAAGTTGTGCTATTGGCACATATATAAAGTTGCGATGAGTAGAATGCATATACATATGAAATTCTTGAAATTAACTACAACACTTTATATATGTAATAAAAAAATTTAATTAAACAAATCATTTTAAAGTGCAATTTCCGAATTAAATGACAAAAAATTTTGAAAACTTATATCAAATACAAATAATTCATCATTTAATTAAAATTATGAACAATTTATTCACTCAAAAAAATGCATTGAACAAACTTAATAGTGCTTTATAATATTACTTTTATTAGTTTGCTTATTTTCATTACTATAAATTCTTAGGTACACATTTCTGAATGTAGGTTATCTGTATTTATCGGATAATATTATATATTAATATATTAATGATCTACTATTCTACTTGCAGTTAGGCATTCCTCTTTGTCATAAAAGTTACGTACGCAGTACATTCGGTTTTTTATATTCTGTCATATACCTATGTAAGTTTAACATAATGGTAAAGTTGAGAATGTCGACCAGCATAATATATATTCACCACATTATATGTAGGTGAAGCAAATGTGAGAATATAGAATAATTAATCAACTGACCCGTTCTCCCTTAACGAAAACAAAGTGTTCCATTAATAATGGATAAGTGAAAATAAAGAGGATCATAAGAGTCAATTGAATTTTGGTTTCTTAACATAAACATAAGAGAAATATTATACAAATATTGCGGATACAAATATTGCGCGATGACAATGCATTTCTTTGTGTGTGAAGTATTTAGTGATCAGATTAAGTTTCATCGCTAAAGAAAATTCGATGCTACAAGTTTTTACGATTTTTGTAGTGAGTCGACAATATTATCATGGTTAACTATTGTAAAACGAATTTACTATGTAACTTGGATAACCTGGCGCCCTATCGGTAATTTGATAAAAATACATTCAACGTTCAACATGTACTTTACGACTCAGTTCTACATTATTTCCTGTTTAACTACTAACTAGAGTAAATATATTTGTCTTCAAGCAATAGCAGGGTTTAAAAAGCTTTGAATCAATTAAAACGGTCTTCACTGTTTCTGATTTTTCAATATAAAGTAAGAAATGTTTCTCTCATAGTTTTTAACTAAATAAGCTTGTTTTACTAGGATATGGCGATAGTATTATATCATTTGTTCAAGGTATATCAAAAGTATTCAATTGATATTTGATGTATTAGTGCGTTATACTAATAAAATATTTTATTTGTTATTTTTATACTGAGTTGGCGGTATAGTTTTGTATACTGTTTTAGTCATAGTTAAGATATCAACTTTGCTAACATGGTTCGTACTTAAATTAGTGTCAAGATTTGAATTCAATCCCTTTTTAAGATTGAAAAAAAAAATGAAAAATATAGTATATATTTTGGGGAATATTATTATGTGAACAGGTGCTCTACATAACTCTGTAACTCCTTATAACTACTGCATCTGAGATAAAGTGAATTTCATTAAAGAAGGATAATGCCGCAAGAACAAAATACATTATAACACTAGTTCCAGTTTTATTTTTAGTATGTAATTTGTTGTTGTTCAGTGGTCTTTCTTAATAAAATGGACGACATTAGTACTATCTTTTCATAATCCTTCACACCATCTCTGTCAATAACTCTTGTAATTTAAGTAATTAAATGCATTATAATAAAAACCAGATATTTATGCATAATCTATATACAATATTTAGCGATGTGATTAAATTATTTACAATAGATAAGTTAATTACTGAAAACCACCTGTTAGTAAATACATATTATATTTACATTATATATCTATATCTGCTTGTAACTGAATATGTTTTGTTAGTGTAAAACATGTGTGAAAAACCAGGTTTTAAAAATCCCAAGAAAATTAAATTTCTGAGGTTTAACTATAACAATAAGTGTTAATTTATTTACATATAAAATAAAAGTTTACAATATCTATTTTTGCTATTATTGCAGAATCATTGTCAATATTACTCATGCCTGCTAATATATTATTGTAATATTAATATTATTAATGCATATATAATTAAATATAATACATTTAACGTATGCCTCACTCAACAAAAACTTTGAATCAGTTTCAATATATTTAAATTATATTTTTATCAAAATTTATCAAATTTTTATTTGATCGCATACTTATTTCTAATAGATAGTAATGACTTTCTGTGCCCGATATAAAAATATTTTAATTAATACAATTAATACATAATTAATACATTACACAGTAAACAATAACTTAATTAAATTTTTGTGAAATGTATATGAATATAAAAACTTTCATAAGCGGCATTGAATCTTTATAGTGAAACTAGTCATACTATCAATTATCAAAATTACAGACCATCACGCTTAAACAAATAACCTACTTTTAAGAATAATTGTTACTTTTTATTATTTTTATTAAAACTATTTTTTTAAAATGAAAAATTTTTCAAGTAATTTTATTTTGTATGTGTTCTGTACTTCTAATAGCATTGGTACATATTGACCGAATCCGGTACCTTTGCGTCAAAATTTGTGCTATCTTCATTTCATATAGTAAAATGTAATTTTTTGAATTTTGATTAATTCCTTTTTCCTTGAAAAGTGTATTCAAGAATTGATGTACTGCTTTTCTTATGACACTCTAATAGATAGTGATAAGATCTTACTACAGCGTATAGATCAAGGCAACCGTACTGTGTTACCAAAACTGTGGACTTAATTTCTATAAACCAAAAAACATCTTACAAAATTATAGCTGCTGTTATCGAATATAACATTGAATATATGAATAACATATATGATTAGTTGTATCTAAGTAAAATCTATCTATTATCAATTCTGTGGAAATTGGAATGTCATGAACCACAAACCACTCATCAAATTTTTTTTACTTGATCCATTGACAATAATTACTTTTTATAGTTTTCTGAGAGACAAAATATACTTTCGTTAAATTAAGATTTATGCATTCATCTATTAAAATAAAAATATTAATAGATTTTACCTAAATTATTTAATAGAAGATAGCAAATAATAGTTGTTCTACATCTTATAGTATAAAATTAAGTGAAATTGTATTTTTAAGCGAATTTTAAATATTTTAAAATTTAATATATATTTTCTTAACATAATATATAATAAATATATATTTAATATATTTTTTTTATTATACTATAAAAATCAACATTTTAGATCGTAATCTTCTTAAACGTTTCCTAAAATGCATGAATTGTGATATCGAGGAAACTAAAAAATTAATTGAACTGAATTATTCGCTAAGAATGAAAAATCCATACATATTCCTTGACCGTGATCCTGATGATGAAGCTATAGAACAAGTACGGGAAGTAGTGTAAGTATAGAATTATATTTACAAAACAAAATAAAATTCAACTAAAATATTATATTATTTCTTTTTTAGCCCATTTTATATTAGCTATAGAAGGGGGTTATTAGTAATTTATTTAAAATATTATTTCATAGTTTTTTAATTGAGTGAACAATTAGTCTATTCCATAATGAATCTAAAATATTATATGTATAATAAAATAATTTTAGTGATATAGTACCCATGCCAGGCTTAACTCCAGATCGCTGTAAAATAATCTGTTCTCGTTTAGTCGAGCATGATGCAAATAAGGTAAGACTATTATATAAAATATATGCATAAATATGTATTTAATGTATAATGTATAATTTCCAGCATGATAGTATTGAAGAATGTAAATTTTTTTTTATGTTATCCGATAGTCGTTTTACAATGAATGACGTGGATACAGAACAGGACTCTAGTATAAATGAAAATAACTCCGATAGTGACTCTGTTACAGAATTAGATAAAATGGCCGATGGCGATATACAAGTATGTGACGCTACTGGTTATACATTGCGACACGTCTATAAAGTCTCAATTAGTACAATGCGTATGCATATGAAATTCCTGCAGGAAGCCTATCCTGTGCGATTGCGTTCTTTACATATGATTAATTGTCCATCATACATGAATAAGTTAATTGCTATATTAAAACCTTTCATACGAGATGATGTCTATAAATTGGTTTGTATTTATATTTTATTTAAATTTGATTATAAATTAATTTTAATAATCCGTTTTATCAGGTGCACTTCCATACAAATGGACTAGATAGCCTATATGAACATGTGCCACGTGAGATGTTACCTGAAGAATTTGGAGGTAGTGCAGGAAAATTAGAGGACATTAAAGCTAAATGGAAAGAAATAGTGAAAGAAAAAAGGTTATTTATAATTTTTTATAATTGCTAATATGATTCAATTATTAATTTTTTATTACAGAGAATATTTAATGGATCAGAAATATTGGAAAATGGTGCCGGTACAAACTTCAGGCCGTTGGTCGTGGTTTTCGTAATAATAATCTATTGAACTTAAAGTCATATAATCTTTTATTTTTAATGTGTTAATATGGTATACAATAAATAAGTGGTTTTTGCTTGTACACTTTTAAATGTATGATAACAATAAATAATTATATATTTTATACAGTAAGGAAAAAAATACATACTTAAAGTACTATGCTAGTACAAAAATTCTCCGTAAGCAATCAGAAAATTGCTTTAATGAGCATCATTAATTAATATAATATCAGCGAAATTATTAAACTGAGACTTGTCATTTATTCAAATTAAAGAAATTTTAAGTAATTATATATATTTAAGTATAACATATTATTAAATTGTATAAATTTATATTACTTATTATTAATATTATAAGAGCGATAATTGAAGACGTTTGATAAAAATTTTTTTTAAAACAAAATAAACAAATTAAAAGTCATAAAATTATATTCTTTACTGCAAACGAAAAATTAGTCAACTGTTTTTTGTTTGAAGATTTTGTTTTCGTGGAGTAACGAATTTTATTTGTCACAACTGCTTTATAAATGTTTTTGTTTTTTGAATGTAATGTTTCTTAACAAACCATCCAATTTGTTTTCGATGAATTTATTATTAAATTGTGTAGTATATACTATAAGTAGTTTTCCATATTCTTCTAACATACTTTAAGTAGAATAAAAGAAAATGTTATTATCATAAGAAGAGAGCAGATGATTAATATGAAATCCTAAGTTATGCTACAGGAAAGGTCCATAATCAATAAACTCTTCATGCAATAATTCGCAACAGAAGTAATTAGAAATTTGTAAAGCATTTGTAAATGCTTTGAACAAATGTAATATTGCTTTATAATATTACTTTTTTAATATGCTAATTGTCATTGCTATAAATTCTTGAGCATACATATCTTATTTACCGGACGATATTATATATTAATATATTAAGGATTTACTGCTCTACTAGCTATAGCATATTCATCATTTTCATAAAAGGTATGTACACAGTACTGAGTAAATTCGAGCGCAGTCAGGTTTTTTATATTCTGTCATATATGTAAGTGTCATATATATATAATGGTAAAGTTGAGAATATCGACCAGCATAATACCACATTATATGTAGGTGAAGCAAATGTGAGAACATAGAATAATAAATCAGCTAAATTGTATATAAGAATTGTATATAAGAATAATAAATCGAGTAGATTGAGATAAAGTAAATTGAAATTTCCTAAGGATTTTTTGCACTGCACTTATTTAAATATGTATTTATTTATTTATTGCACTTATTTATTATTTTTGGTTAAAAATTTTCAAATTTGTTTATTTATTTATTAAACATCTTATAAAATTTTCACAATGGTAACACCTAACTTACCTAATTTTATTTAATTCACCGTACTCGAAATTCTGGTAAATACCAACATTCGCTGCCATACCGGCATAATTTACTATTTCCCTCAATTTACCATCAATTTAGTCAAATTCGCACACGGCCTTAATCGTTGTTGCTCATGCAAAATCTCGAGTACATCTGATTTTAGAGCGGCTTGCATACACTTAAAGTACTTGGAGTCATTATTGCAAGTTCAACAATCAATGCTGCTGCGTATGTATATAGATTGGTCCAATTATAAGCGAATAATACTTTTCTCTGACTACATACAAAACGAGTATCGGATGTTTTTGTTTACAATAAGTATACTACAAAAGCAAATGATTTTAATAGAATAATCAAACAGGGCTATTGCAATCGAAAGCGATTATAAGGATTTTTAAGTTAGAACAAGGATTAAGGATTTTGTACAACAAATATAAGTACCTAAATATTATTTACGAATCAAAATAGGATTGTTGACAAGGCTCCGTAGGTTAAACTTAGTTGGAACTTACTCCAATTAAATTTGTAGGTTTTGTATGGAAGAGAATGAGACTTCAAAACACGTACTAACAGTTTGCTTGACACTAATGCATAAACGGAAGAAATAACTAGGTAGAATATCAAAAGTCTGTAATGTAGATGCATCACTACAATTTATAGAGGAAGTTTGACTTGGAGAAATACTCTAAGTTCATGTAGGGGGCACAAAAGTTCTTTAGGTCACAGTGAAAATTCTTATAAAATAATAATAATGAGCCATGTTGTACAAGCGATTAATGCTTTCAAGTTTTTAACTTAAAAAATCAGTTTAATAATTAAATTAAATTTAATTTTTTACTTGAAATCAACAACAAATTTAGTAGTTTATAATAATATGATCGCGTGCATTATATCACATAGAACAATTTTTGAAAAATGTTTTAATATGCAACCCAAAAATTTTAATAGCTGCTTTAAATACCAAAACAATTTTTTATAATTTTTTTCATCGGCCGACTTTAAATATTTGTGATAATGATAATGTGAGCTTATTAAACTTTGAAGCAAACATATTTTCTTTTAATATTATATTCTTATATATAATTTATTATACATATTAATTTAAATTGTTTTATGTCAAGTGGACTCAATGATTAAGAGAGGAAGATGTTCGATATATATATATATATATATATATATATATATCTCCCAGATATAAATATATATTTTTCAAGTACGTGTTGTTTAAATTTATTGCTCAATTCAAAATTTTTTTTCTCTAAATTAAGCTTAATACAGTCAAACTTCCATGCCTAAAACTTCTAGAACTCGAAATTTCTATAACTCGAACTAAAAACAGTGCAACAGGGTTTTAGAGAGCACATTACATACAATTCTACTTCCATAACTCGAACTTCTATAACTCGAATAAAAATATTGTCGCGTGGCCGATAGAAATATGACAAATGTGCATTCTTTAAGTCGAATTTTTGTTTTAACTATGAATCCATTTTGGTATTAGAGGCAGTCCCTTTTTCCAAACCAAATGCTTATTTTTTTCTTTCTTATGTTGCTTCTTTGTGTAAATACCAGTCGCTGGTACAAAAAGCAGAATATTACACTTATGGATTGCATAAATCATGTAACAAAAGCTAGAGATATAGATGTAAGTATTCAAACGATAGTGAACTGCTTTTGGATTTGACCAATTTTCTACATGGGTCAACATGCCTTTACTTTTCTAAAGAATAACATTGATGTAGACCGTAAATTGATGGAACAGAATTATGAAGCGTGGTTTAAAGTAAATAAAATAACTTCCAATGCTACTCTTAACGATTATATTGAGCTTGACAATGAAATTTGCACATCAAGCTTTCCTACAGTTGACGATATTATTGATCATTATAGCTCTGAATTAGTGAAATCAATTCTAAGTACAACGGAAAATGATGATGAGGGTTCGGTGGATGAAATTGTTCATCAGCCTACCAAGAATGAAGCAGAAGACTCATTCAGAATTCTGAATTTTTATTTGCAAACGAATGAATAAATTGGAGTCTCTTCATACTAAAAATAAGAAAAAAAAATAAAAATCCAAACCCTAATTTCTAAATCTTTTTCTTCACTATAACTTTTGTGGAGTATTTGATTTCAAATAAATAAATAAATATTTTAAAATGTAATTATAGTTTCTTTCAAAAATAAAAAAAATAAAAAAATTCTCTAAATCAAAGTCTCCATAAGTCGATCGTTATGGAAGTTTGACTGTATATATTAAACACATATTCTTATATTTGATTTACTACATATGTTATATTAATTGAAATTGGTTTTATGTCAAGTGGACTTAATGATTAAGTAAGAAAGGTGTTTGATATATCTCAAAGATATAAGTAATTTTTAATTTATTTAATTTAATTAATTGCTCAATTTAAAATTTTTTTCCCTAAATTTAGCTTAAGAATTAATTATTTTGAAAATAACATATATAATCTCTTTAGGTCTTTATAAATTTTCTTTTTATCTTTATCTTTTTCTTTGAGTGAAAAAGTTTGGGAATCGCTTGGCTTGACACACGTTACTGGTAATGAGCACCATTAGAAAACGTTTCCTACTTGTTGGCTGCTTAGTCAAGCAACAATTTGGTTCGCGGTTAAATAATAATGAAGAGAAGACATTAAAAATAAACTTAAAAATATTAAATCGCTTTCAATTTTTAATTTCAATTGCAATTTTGATTTCAGTTTGTGTTCAGAACTCAGACAAACAACAATAAAAATTCATAACCAACGAATTAGATTTTGAAATAATTTTTAATATATTTTGTTAGAGTCAGTGAAGCATTATATATTGAATTTTAATTATAAAATTTACAGTCAATAGCAAATCCAAGTTTTAAATTAAAAAATTTTAAATTAATTAATAAAAATAAAAAGTAAAAAATAATATGGGTGATCGTGCTTATGAAGCTCAAATTGATGAATTAATGCAATGGTTTCAGGAAAATGAAAAGCTGCCAAAGGAAATTGGTAAGAATCAACACATATATCAAGAATCAAAATCGGTTAAATAAACATATAAAATATTGTAAATATACTATTTGGCATTTTTAAGAGATTAATGTAAAATATGAAAATATGAAAAAATATGTTAAGAATATTAAATTATAAAATTCCAGATTTTCAGATTTTAATTAGCTCATCTGTATACAAAGTACATTAGCCCGAAATTGTTTATTTGACCAAATAAAATATTACGTGCAGCTTTAAATAATAAATATTGACAAAGGAAGGAAACAATATAGACTTGTGCGCCTCAAAGCGCAATTAAAATTATTTATTAATTATAAATGAGTTTGCATAATTAAAAGTAATTTAAATGGAAGAAATCATATATAAGATCATTACATAATTAAAGTCCGAATAAATAATTATTGTCGTTTTAGATGCAAAACATTATGAAATAATAGTAAAGAGGAAGTTTTAATTATTTTAAAAAAAATTACGTTTGTATTATAAAAATTGTTGTAATATTAAAAAAATTAATAAAGATTTCTGTGTAACTTCCTACTTGCATATATCAAATTTGGAGAACAACTATTTAGTGTAGGATTTTATAAAAATAAATATTGTCATTAACAGAATACTTTATTCAAGTCCCTTTAGGCTTATAATATTTCTGACCCTAAAATGACCACAATAAAAATAATTTAAATTTTATTAAAACTGGAATGTGGAAATTAAAACTGTTTATTTTACTTTCTATTTTAAAATGCAATTAATAAATTTAAATGCTGTAAAATATTTTTTAAAATATTTTTTTTTTACTTTGTTATATTAGAACTCAAACTTTTCTCTTTTTGTCTCAGTATACTAACATGCTGTGACTAAAAGTAAACCGTACTAATAGAAAACAGTTTACTATTTTGATTTAAACTTCTAAAAATAGAACGGTTCTATTTTTTACCTAATTAAATCTATATAATAATATTTGATACGAAACTATAGGCAGCAAATCATAAAATTAAAGTCTTTTTGGTTCCAACATTTTATAGATGAAGTCTATTACTTAATTTACATATAAGATGATGAAGATGTCCGTATATAATAATATATATTGAGAAGCAACGACTGAACATAAATAATTGACAAAATTAACAAGATTGCTATACCTTAAGCACCCTAATTTAATAATGGATTTTAATAAAGTTGCTTATTCTATATAATAACTTACTTCTCGAGATACCGATTATATTGATATCATTCAATTATTTTGATATTACGCCAGTGGAACAGTATTATTATTTTTAAAAACAAGGGATCATACACTGCGACCTAAAAGATCTATTGTGCCCCTTAGTCGAATTAGAGTGTTTCTCCAAGTCCGATTTCTTTATTGAAAGACAGTATATAGCCTATCTTTCCTAGTCTTGGATAGAACAGTAAAGTTAATTTAATTTGTATTCAATTTGAAACAGCCAATCGATTGTTTTATTGCATATATACATACAGTAATCCTCCGCTAGCCCGCATTCATTAAAATTGGGATAAATGTGAATTAATGAGGCATGTGTATTGCGACAGTCATATAAAAAATACAGTAAAAGTCTTATATATTCATATATTTATTTAACAATAGAAACCGAACAGAAACAGAACATTATTTTACTGTTTATTATATCAAACCATAAGCTAAATGACACATTAACATGATAAACGATAAAGTGTATTAGCAAATAGCAAACAAAATATATAGGCGAATGAAACATATACGTAGGTATGCAAATCACTCATATATAAACATATGTTTTTTTTACTGGACTATCGAGCAGATATATTCATAACATGTCTGGATTAGCAAATCAGTGGTAGATCCGAAGTGCAAGACACATAATGCACATTTAGCATATTATAATTTTGACCGAACTACCACGGAATATAAATGACTGAAAATTTCCGCTAACGGAGACCTACTGTATATATATTTTATCTTATATAATTAATTGTTTTCCACAAGTAATTAAAGTCTATCGATGAAAAAAGTTGTACAGATATTGCAATATAAAACATAGTTTATGTTTAAATAAAATTATTTTTAAATCATTGCTACTAAAAATTGAAATATATATATTTTTTATAGATCGGCTGTTGTTAAAAAGATTTTATGAGTGTATGTACAGAAATGTTGAAGACACGAAAAAATTAATAAGAATTAATTACAAATTACGTAATAAATATGATCACATCTTTCTGGATAGGGATCCAAATAGTGAACAAAGTCAAAACACATTTGCTTATGCGTAAGTTTACTAAAGAAAACTACACACATATTATATATAAATCTCATAACACTTTTTCCATATTTAGAGACCTTATTCCACTACCTGGTTTAACACCGGAAAATTATAAAGTATCATGTTATCGCTTACATGATTTTGATCATAAAAAGGTGAAATTATACTTCATTAGACATCTTATGGACTTCCGTTTAATTTTCAATTATTTACAGATGAATCACATAGAAGATACCAAATCATTCTTTATGGTAACGGATTGTCGTTTTTGTATTCCCGATTTACCAGATTCTGATCAATTGTCCGAAGGTGAAGTACAAATTTTTGACATGAATGGATTTTCCATGAAACATTTCTCAAGAATGACCATCGGTACAATGCGTATATATTTGAAATTTCTACAAGAAGCCTTCCCCGTACGTCTTAAGGCTGTACATTTAATAAATTGTCCAACATATTTGGACAAAATTGTAAGTGTTGTCAAACCATTTATAAATCGAGAAGTTTTTAAAATGGTACGTATATTTCTACAAAATGTAGAACTTTTATAAATATTTATAGTTATTTTAGATACACTTTCACACAAATGGCATAAATGGGCTCTATGAGCATGTACCGCGTAGTATGTTACCAGAAGAATATGGTGGCGATTGTGGTAGTTTTGAAAAACTTAAGGCACAAACTATGTTACTTTTACAACAAAAACGGTAATACTATTATTATTAGAAAAGAAATAGTTTAATTAAATTTCATTTTTACTTATAATTTCTTTTGGCTAGATCTTACTTGATTGATTCACAACATTGGAAAATTGAATTAAAATGTGATAATTAAGAAATATTAATTAAAAATAATACATTACTTAATACATATTTATTTACATTAATTTATATATTATCAATTAACAAATTTGGTGAATTCTTGGAACTGTTTAATAAAATTTAATAAAAATACATAAAATATTTATCGTCAAACAATAATTAGTATTTTTAAGTGATTGTAACAGACATAGTTCCACTTTAGCATTTTGATTACCAAATAAATTGGCTATATACTATATATACAGTGCTTTAAATTCAGCACCGAAAGAATAGAAAGAACTTACCATTATGAGAAAGTACCGCTTAAATAAGATTCTGTCCTTATATCCGTTAGGTTAAAATGAGTAAATAAATCTTCAATGATTTCAATTTTTATTTTTTGCAAAATATATGTAAATATTTATAAAAAACGCAAATTTTATTTATTTGCTTTTCAACTTGTATTTAGAACTATAAGAGATTAGTTAATTGTTAGTTAGATTAATTAGACAGTATCTTGGAAACACACATTGTATTATTAGTTTTTTGTCAATTAATATAAATACATATATATAAATGTTGTTGAGCCTTGTAGACAGTCAAGGTAGTTGGTTAAAGTTTCCATATATGATGTTTCTGATAAAGTTCAATTATAACAAAAAGAACTTTGATTTAGTGCCTATACAGTGTATATACAATTCTTTAAGTGTGTAATAAACTTTCTCCGTTTCTTTACTGATGAATATGACATGAAAAAATAATGATGGACAATACATTTTAGTAGCGTCCGTTGCACCTAATGTATCGCAGTTTTTTGTTAATTTTGGCACGAAGCCTTTCATAGCAACTTTCTCAGTGTTTTTTATGATTTATGATTTTATGTCTCAAATTCAGTACTTTGATTTTAATTGCTTTGTTGGATAATTATGACTTTAACTAATGTAGACTTTAGTTTATAGTTTCGAGTTATGCACTTTAAAGTTATTTATAAAGTTATACATGTAGTTTTAATAGAATTTAAAATAAACTTCTTCAGCAAAGTATGCATTTGTGTGGATTCACATACGTTACAACTGTCAAAATGGAATACGTAGTAAATGTCAAAATTTGGCATTTGGGTATGAACTAAAAAGTGTTTGCAATAATTTACAATTATAAAATCCATTAGGATTTTGCGTCATGGCTTTAATAAATAGTTTGCGTTTGGTACAAAAATTAAATGGAGCAAATGCACCTTTGCTACTCAACCAAATGACAAGAAATCGTATGTATTTGAAGATTTAGTGACACCAACACATATGTGTTTACGTAACTATTTATTTTTATTTTCCAGTTGCGCATTGGAACAAGGATTTTAAACCTGGTCCATATCCAACCACACAAAAAGAACGTGATGAAGCTGCTAGAAAATATAACATAGCCCCAGAGGATTATAAACCCTACCCAGACGATGGATTGGGTTATGGTGATTACCCAAAACTAGAAATCGGATTAGGTGTTGAAGCTAGAGATCCATATTATCCATACGATTTTCCAGAACATAAACGTAACTTCAATGAACCGGTTAGTTATTAAACCATTATAAATTTGTGTTCAAAACTATTTTTACTTTTTTGCAGATACATGCTGACATTGATTTGTATGGCGAGGATCGTTATTCAGTAGCGGCACGCCCGCGTTACAGTAACCAGGTCTATTGGGGAACTTTTCTTGGTGTAATGACGTTCTGTTTTGTATTATATTATTGGTTAGAAGACAAGAAAATGTTTCGTCCTGTTTCTGCAAAGCAATATCCAGGAGATGGTAAAAAGCATTATACGTTTGAAAATGAATAAATACTAAATAATAGTAGCTAATCACGAGATAATTAAATTTAACGCAAAGAATTTGTAAAATTTAATTACAGATATATTCTGTGTGCAAACTAATTAAATAAAGTACTATATGGCAAAATACTTGTAAATTTATTTAGGCAAACTATATAATAAAAATATGTAGAAAAAACAATTAACAAGAGAATTGTTGGTAATCAAATGAGTTTGTATTATCTAAATTACATAGGAATGTTAAATCATATTTATATGGAATTTACAGTATAGAAATATGATATAAAGGTGAGTCTTGTTTAAAAATTTTATTAATTTTTGTATTTATTGAAATGATCTTAATTGGATAATATTTATTGTAGGCTGTTATATATATTATAATTATATGTAATGTTTATTGCAGTGTTGATACCAAGTTGCATATTGGTATATGAATATCTTTTTTAATGTAAGTCATTATATGACAATCTATAAAACATATTAAAATATCTTCGATATTGAACATTACCAATAAAACTCATATGAAAACAGAGTTGTTTTTATAGCCTGCCAGATCTGCTTGTGTGACCCCTTTGTTAGATGTTGAACGGCACTTGGTTGCCTACAACGAGTAACTCCGGGCCATAGACTCGGCCGTTCTTAGGACCGTTGTAGTGTGTGTCGTTTTAATTTGAGAACAATTAAAAAATAATTTTAAAAGGGCCTTGCAGTTAACATTATTGTATAATACAACTGGGAATCTACTCGAATGATGTTGTTGCTGGATGTATGATCTGCGGTGGTATATAAATGAAAGTTGTACTTGGGTGTCCATCTAATGTTAACTCCATTTGTTAAAGTAAACTCAATACTGCAACTTATGAAAATATTTCGCATCCATAAATTTGATATATAGATCTTTAAAGTCACAGGTATTTGTGCTAATTTAGCTTATAAATACTGAATTATCAAAATTTAGTGATAATTTATTTAGAGAATAAAATACAATTTTATAAAGAATAGTTTTCATTTTTATCAAAAAAGAATAATAAAAAATAATCAATACAGAATAAGTATTTATATAACGACGCAATAAACCGAAGTTATAAATATTATTTAATATCGAACTTTTACAATACTACAATACAAAGTAGATCTAATTAAAAAGCGAACCACTCTTACTTTATTTCTAATATAAAAAGTCAAAAGAATTTGAAACCGTAGTAATATCTGACCAAAACCTTGATCCTACAATTTCAGTATTATTTGGATTCATTTTTACTATTACTTAACTTTAAAATACTAGAAATAATCCTTAATACGTATTCATTTGCTAAACATCTGTATCCATTGTAACAAAATGTAACTAAAGCAGTGAATCCCTATTTTTTTTTTATTTTAATCAGCATTGAAATATAATTGATTAAGCTTATTTTAAATAAGGAACATTCTTTGTGTTAAATCCAAAATTATAAACTTTATGATTTAACCCACATAAAGATTGTTTAAAAAAGCATATCATCAATGTATTATCAACGTAATAACTACTTATTTATAGCTAATGTTCAGTAGCGAGGGGTCAGCTTTTTGGCAAGGTGTTAACAATTTGATCAAAACAGAATTCCAACCATAACGTATTCCCCCTTCTCCTGAGTTTTGTCCTTTCCACAAGCAAATAGCGTACAAGACCAACAAAACAATTTATTTAAATGTTCGCCGCCTGTGATCCACTGGTTTTTATGGTAAATAGCTGTAGGAAAACGGCGACTTACCACAGATTTCGACATTTTTACATCAGGTTCCAAATTCTTCATATCTGGTAAAAAGATATTTGAATCAAATCTTTAATCACACATTTATCCATTTCTAAATATTATTTTTTACTTCAAATCTCTTTAATTTTTTTCTTTACTTTTACCATTTGCTAGTATAAAATTGCAATAATGACTTTGTTTTTGGTTTATTTCCAACCTCTACATAAGAATAAGAAACTCTCATGCATTCATTTACTCTTTTACTTTGTATTTACTATGCGTGGTTCAGTCTTTTACTGAACCATTTGCCCATATGAAACGGCAACCGTGACTTTGATTGTATTTCCATGCTTTGTATGAACTTGGGGTTCAGTTTAGTCGACTGAACCTCTGGTCAAATGTAAAGCGATTTTCGCTCAATCATTTCTTTTCTCTTTTGTATTTACTTTGCACAACATTGGAGGTTTACTTTTTTTATTGAACCTCTTGCACGCATTAATTTAAGAGTTATGATTATTTTACGTATATATTTTGCGGGGCTTGTTTTCTCTTTTATTTTTATATTTGTTTGTATTTTTTGTGTTTATTCAATATTGAACATAATCCCAATGTGAATGTTATTTCATTTGCATGCTTGCAAGCAGCGCGGTGCAGTTTTTATTCTGAACCTTAGTATATTTTAAGAGGTATGTGTTTTCTCTTTTATTAATTATAAGTAACGTTGGGTGTAACTAACATATGTATGTGTGATTTTGTTTGTATTGTACGTTTTGTGTTTATGTTAATTTGTTTGGAAAAGCTATTATAAAAAATGTTAAGTAGCAAATTAGCGAGATTATTTACGCAATAAAAAAAAAGATCTAAAAAGGAAGCTTTGTTAAGGTGTTCAGTGAACACTCTGAACCATTCGATGCCTCGCCTCTGCTAATGTTAATTAAATGCTAGTCCATAAACTGTAATATTATACCGACTGACTAAATTATCTATTAACATACACAAATCTATGACACTTCATTTAATGGAACTGATATTATTAGATTGATTATTGGTCATGGGTTATATTCTTTTGGTTTATCTACTTGTTTTCTAAATTTATATGTTTATTTATACATATATAATTTATATATGTTATGTTATGTTAAGCCTTTTCCGAGTTAGTGCATCTGGGCACTTTTACTCTATGATGGCTGGGGGTTTCTGCAAAGTCCCACCCATCTCACTGACTAATTTCAATATTCTTCATAATCGTCGTGATTATTCAATGATTGATCTAAGATCTGCGTGCTGTTAGTGATTACTCTGAGATTAGATAACGCTAAGTAGGGCAGCCTGTCGGTTTTCGCACATAGCTTCATATATATATATATATATATATGTATAAATGTGTAGTACTTTTATTAAAATATGAAAATACTTCCTATAAAAAATCTGAACCATTATTACCCATTCAAGCTAAAAAAATTTATGCAAGCCTTGGCTAAATTAAAATTAATTTATATTTATATCTAATATTTTCGAATTTCATTAAAACGTGAAGAACTTTTCTGTAGAGCTGATGCTCGATTATAAATTTTGGTACAGAGAGGAAAATAATTGTCAATAATTAAATATTTATAAATGTAAAAATTAAAACTAAAAAATAAAAAACTATAACTTTTTTCAATTGCTGATTTTTTAACATATATTTTAAATAAATTTAAAAAAATATTCTTCAAATAATATTTTAAGTAGATAAACAATATAATAAGTATATAATTTATAATTAATAAAATAATTAGTAAAAGTTGTTATAGTAAACACAATACAAAAAAATTAAAACTAATACATTAAATACATTATATATTTTTTTAACTACAATTAAAATTTGTATATAAATTTTTCATGAGAAACTTACAAAATTTAATAATAATAATAATAATTACAAAATTAAAACATTATGATGCATTTCTTATAAAACAAATTATTTTACAAACTTATAAATACACACAAACTCAAAAATATAATCCAGATTATACACAATTCTTTTCACGCAATTTATAAATTGCAAAAGCGAAGCAACTATTATGGCTTATATAGTAATTTTTACATAGGAATTTCAACAATTTAGGAAACTTGTTAGTTAAAGTCTAATTAGTGACGTTGTTCTAAAATCTAAATTTAATGTACAAATAAATAGGCAGTTAACACAAAACTTTTTTTTTACATATACTATATTTAATTTACATCTTTATATATTTTTTTTTTAATTTTTCATTATATTTATTTAGAATTTAAATTCACTTTATAAGTTTACATTAAGAAATTTAAAATCGTTTTGAGACTTGTACAAAAATAACAAATTTAAACGCTAGTTAATTTGTTTAGTTTATTAATTGTCGTATAATTTATAATAATGTTTAAAATTTATAATTTATTTAAAATATGTATATCCAATTTCTATAGTTATGTTATTTATATTGTATTTGATTCTCTGTTAATACATCAACCACATGAATTTTTTTGCTACGCATAATTTTATTTTGCTAAAAGTATATTTGATATATTCGTATTTAGTTAACAAACTTTCCTTTTACAATATTTTATTTAATATAAAAACATTTTTTGTAAACGAAGCGTATTTTTAGTTTATTTAAAATAAAATATTCCTTCATATTTGAGAGCGTTCGATTTGGTTCACTCACAAGTATGCATTTAAATATAACAAATTGTTATTGAAGTGGAAACCTAAACACTATTAGTTGCCATCATTTTGTATATATAAACAAAGCATTTAATACAAACTAATTAATGGCAGTCAAATTTATGTTTACAATTTTTAAAATTTTAGAAAATATTAATAAAAATTGAATAGTTAGATTTGAAAATATTTATTTGAAATTTGTTTATTAAAATCAAGATAAAAATTATTTATAACAGAACTTTAATATATATTTATATATAAAGTATACTATTACTTCATAATTATTGTTAAATATGAAGAAAAATTATATTCAAAAAGGATATTAATACTAAAAATAATTTTAAATAATATTAATAAAGAAATAATTTTTATTTCTTAGTAAACAAATAAAAAAAAATTATTTTTAAATTAAATCTAAAAATTCGACATTTATCAAAAGTGTTCTTTTTTGTGCTGAAATTATTTATTGCATATCTGTGCTCGGTTAATAAATCTGAAAGCAAGCACAAAACCAAAAATTAAATGAAAAGTTTGTATTTGCCAATATTCATTAAGAATTAAAAATTATTCTTTATAATTATTTTATAAAAAACGTATATGCAATTTATTATAAATATATAACAATTAATTAAATTCAAAATTAAAGACATCATCTAATTTTACATATTCAAATTTACAAAAAAAAAAAAATATATATATATATAAAATCAATATTAAATAATCAACATTTATTGAAATTGAAAATACGCTTCATTGCAGAAAAACTTATATAAAATAAAAAGTTTTTTTAAAAATACAAATTACTTATTATAAAAGTAAACAATCAGGAGTTGATGTTATTCTTACTTTAATAGTACAATTTAGGTTAAAAATAATTTTATCTATAATTTTTTTTAATCTTACTCATTTATGTATATTCTTAATAATAAACAATGAATTATATATGTATTTGATTTGACAACAAAATTTACTATAATTGCTCCAATTTAAAACAAAAAAATATTTTTTGTTCATATAATATAATGTATAAAAAGTTATTTATTAATATAATATAATTTAAAAATGCAATACAGAATCTAATAAATGATACATAAATTTAGAAAAATAAGATAAGAAAATGTTAAGCATATATATATTATTTAACGTTTTACTTATAAAATTAATAAAGATGTAAAATACAGATACACATCAACTAAAATTGATATGATAATAAATTATTAAATTATTTAAGTTTGAATGTCAAGCTAAAGATTAAATTAATTATAAATTTTAATATAAATTAAGAAATAAAGTATATGCAGATATACAAATGATTTATGCTGAATTTGGATATTTAATGTGAGTATTTTACAACTAAGCATATATACGTTACTACTAATAGTTCTTTCTTTTTTAAATATATATTATATAAATTAGTTGGTTTCAGGACATTGTAATATTCAATTATTTATAATTTTATAATCTTTAATATTTATAATTTAAAATTTATTTTTTCTATACTGTATCATGATATTGGATACTTATTTTGAATTAATACATTTCTTTTAAACAAATTCCAATTTTTTTTTTTTTGTAATTTATGTATTAATTAAAATTTATATGTTAAATAAATGTATCTTTACTTATATTCCATGTTAATTTCGCATTAAGGTACCATTTCTTAAAAAATATTCAAATATATATTTTATCTTTTTCTTATTTTAATATTTTTTTAAACATATTTTAAACAGTCTCCTCTGGTTATATTCTTATTAATTTGCATATATATTATTTAGTTTTCATATTTATCACGAATTCTTTGTTAAAAATTGTATGTATTGTTAAGTTATTGTTGATAATTTTAGATGTTATGCTAAGATATATGTGGTTTGATTTTTTCTATGATGTAAAAAAAGTTTTTCTGCTTCGTTTAATGCTTAATCTGGACTGTAATTAAGTTGCGATATAATTACTTTCTTGTTGACTTACACTTACGATCCCAATGGTGACATCCCCATTTGTCGAGGATCTGGAACAATAACGCCAACTAATTCTAAATTTTTAGTAAGCAATTGTAACCAATGCTTAGTGGATTTGTCATCCTGGAGACAAGCCGAGAAAGTACTATCACGCAATTGATCAGGAAGACACTGTCGTAAAGCCTCACGTGCTCTGTTAAAAATAAAATGAGTAAATATTTATATTACATTAAAGTAAGTTAATTGAAACAAACCTTGGATTGTCGGATAATCGCAAATAACAGCGAACAACATGTTTCAAAAGACGTGCAGACGGCTCCTTGGCAAGTTGTATGACCATTTTACCCTATTGTAATAAAACGTGTAAGTAAAAATAAAATAAATGCATACAATAAAAAATATTTTATTATTAATAACAAATAATAATTAATAATATATATTTTCTATTTTAATTCTAAATTTAAAAATTTTATATGTAATTAAATCTCTCTTTTGAAAATACTTTAAAAAACTAATGAAATGTTGTATAAAAATCAAAATGAAATATAACTTCTTTATATATAACTTCTTTAATGACATTATTAATATTGTTAAACGTATATAAACGAAATAAAAACTATTAATTGATTTTTTATTTTTAATTTATTTATATATTTTATATAAAATTAATCTCGACAGTTTTGTTGTTGTTGTGTAGATCAAACAAAATTATATAAAAAATATATTTAAAATTTTTTATATATTATTTTATTTTATATTATTGATTAAACAGCTATGAGATATAAAACTAAAAGCATTCTTTTCTCTAGCTTTCTTCTTATATTTTGCCAATACTACGATTTACCTATAATTTTTTTTTTCAAAGTTTCATTTTATTTATTCAATCTTGTCTAATAATAAATACTAAAAACTAGTTTTTAAATCATAAATTTATTTCCATATTTATTACAAATTACATAGCAAGAGTTGCTTAATATATTAAGGAATTATGATACTACGGGTCTCACTTAAACAGTTTAGGGCTAATTCAGTATAAGGAACTTGTTTAAAAACCGATTTTAATTATTTTGAAAAACTGAACTGAGTCTTTAGTCACTGCTTATGTTATTCTTTCGAAGAAAAAGGAAGAATAAAATTATCTAGTTTCTTTCACAGAATTGCAAATATCTTTTTCAGAATGGTTTGACAAATCTAGATGGAATTCGTAGAACTAACTACTTACAACTTTATAAATTTATTTATTTATTTATATTGTATATTGTATATTGTATTATATTGTATAAATATATTGTTATATATCTTAAAAATTAAAGTTAATTTTTTTAATTTTACTTACCAAAATTATAGCAACGTGTGAAAATCGCTCATACGTTTGGCAAATATAGGACAAACCACTTTCATCTAACAAAATCTTTTGCAAAATAAATGTGGCAACAGTTTTACTCAATTCTGAACCAGATTCCATTATCCTTAAGCAGAGTGGAATGATTTCAGTTGTTAAGAGAAAAGTTATCACTTCTTGTTCATCAGTCTGGAAAATATATTATAAATATAAACAATAATTAAATTATAAAAACACTATATTAAGTTTAACAAGTTAGTAAGCTTACCTTAACAAGTGCTCCAATCACACCCAAACTTGTTAACCTAAGATATTCGAATGGTCTTGTTTTTGATGTTGTATGTAAAAATGGATACAGGAACAGTGGTATTTGTGCCTGTAGGAACACTGTGCGCGTTTCGGGATGTGATGCAACACATTGTAATAATGCGAGAGCATTACAAACCCGATTCGATTGATGTGCAGTAAGTGTGGCAGGACTAATCGATGGATAAATGTTAATAATCTCTTGTAAAAGGGCTGCTGTAGTTCCATAACTATTCCATAACATTGGTGCGAGATCTGTGACGGTTTCACGTTTCTTACTTAACTCTAATAGAGCAGTTTCACGTGTATCTGGATTTGAAAGCTCATTGATCCATTGAAACACCTAGAAAATAAATTAAAAATTTAATATTAATATTAATATAAAGTAATAGTACTAAAATTTTCTATAATAATACTAAATTTACTTAAATCAATATGTTGCAATATATTATATAGTTATGTGGAATAAAAGTTAAACAATTAAATACAACTTTAAAATGATAACTATGGCCCTGTTAACAAATGAGAGTATTTGTTTAACACCTTAACTAATATTACCAAATCTGACCCGGTAAAAGAAGACATCTGTAAGATTATGATTTCTATAACTGGTTACTGACTATTTGGCAGACATGTTCTCAAGCTAGGAGCACCCACTCATGAGTATTGTAAAAGTTGTGGGGAATAGAAAAAGCCTCGACTTTAACTCCAGCTTGACAAAAAGTTCAAGTGTAACATTAAACACATTTTATACTTAATTAGGGCTTGAAAATGGGATATACATTTAAACGCAGTCAAAGTTCCATATTAAGTATTTGTGTTAAATGGAACCCTTCGGCTTCAATAAGTCAACTAGAATTAGACTTATAAAATAACCTAAACTAAACTAACATAACTGTTCAGAAAAAGTAGATATAGGAATTTGTTACATATTCGTTTGTTAGAAAATACACTGCATATTATTTTTTAAAACTTATAGAAAGAATCTATAAAACTTTTAATATTTAGACATTTTTAAATAAACGAACTTAAGGGCATTACAAATAATATGACGTAAATACAGTTAGACTTTGATTTACATCCCGGAAACATCTTTAAAAAACCGTACGTCAAGTTGTAGTTGAATGAAATTTGCAAAACATTAGTAACGTAATTACAGGAAAATGACACTACAATGTTCTATTGATAAGAATTTGCCGATTTGAGTAGATACCGGACAAAATTTAGCTTGATATAATCTAATAACAAGCACAAAAGATATATTAGATATTTAAGGTCTATTTAAGATATGTATAGAATTAGCTTATTCCCTTTCTTCATTCAAGACACTATCATGTGTTTCGATTGAATTGTTTATGTATTTGAATTAATATTTTATATACTAGTATATATATAATATTATAAGTAAGTCCTTATTTTATACTTAAATTTGTGTTTATTGTTTTTCTTTAAGGAAAGGTTTACCACTCTAGAAATTTATTTTGAGGTTGAACTGGTAAGCGAGAGCCATGCAATCCCCCAACTTCTACGTGTTCTTTATACGTGGTAATCATTCTTTCCGCTTTTGAGCGTACTACTTTATGATAGTTTGAATTTCATCATTTTAGAAGACGATCTAATCTATGAAACACTAAGTTTTAAAATGATCACAATTTTTATATTATCTTAGTTCGACATATTTTTTTTGTGAAATTTCATAATTTCAACTATTACTCGCTTTAGTTTATTTATATTGTGGTTATTTGAAATAGCATTCCTATAGAATTCAGTAACTGGTCTAACAGCTAACATATTGCAGTAGTTAGTTTTTACACCTTCACCTCAAACCGCTCTTGTTTCCAATTACTTCCTTTATCTATTCATATCCTATATGAATGCTAAATAGATTTTTATAGGTTACCACAACAACAAAGCTAACATATTCGTTTCCGAAGAATTTCCAAATTAATTTTAATGGAAAACTAAATTTTACCATTTGATAATTTTTTAAGTAATGCTCATTAAGGCCATTATGACGATAATTTACCATACAAAGAGTTTTGATATAAATGAGCTCATTATAAATAAATCAACTGATTTAAGGGGAAAAATGTCGAATGCAATCCGTAAAAAAAATTTTCCACAGGGGAAATTACCAAAATTGAAATATTTATAATATGTCAAATGAAAACAAACAGCTATTTTACATCCATAAATCAGCTTATGCTAATGGGAACGACTAAATCTTAATGTTATCAACATAATTAGTTATAGCTGCAGTGGAAACATGATATTACAGTATTTTATTAAGATATTTGATTAACATTTTTATGTTTTTATGACAATTTTATATTATTACTTAATTCACAATGCTGAACTGCAGACATTTATAATCAATTTGGCTTTTATTAAATAAATAAATGTTAAGTGATCACATTTTCTCATTTAGTTGGCTCACAGGGATATCAGTCTTATAGCGAAGATTCCGAAGCATTTCTATCAATGAAGTATTCATTTTAGGAAACAGTAGATTCCTTTCAAAAATCATTTCAGAGACGTGTGTTATAGATATAGGAACAACCTGATTTGCTATTTTCTTGTGTAAGCGCAATAAAAGTTAAAATCGTAGGCACCTCCAAAAATGGTTTTTGAAGAGTATCTTAGCGCTTTATAAAAAACTTCATATGTTTTTTACGCTTGATATACATATATGGCAATATCATGAATTGCCATGGATTGTTTCAAAAATTACTGCTATAATCTTACCCAGTATAATAAAGCTTGATTTATTTGGCAAAATCATGGGGTCTCACTAAATAAATTTCATGGGTTTCAGTAGTTATAAGACAACTGAACATAATAAATATTCTTAAAAAATATTTAGAAAGATGAGTTCGTTGTTGTTGTTATGGTAACCCATGGAGAGCAAGCTAGTAACTTACTCGTCGAACTCGATGAATGGGTTCGGAACATAGACCCAGCTGCTCTTGGTACTAAGTTGAATTTAAACATCTTCAGAACCGAAGCATAAATAATAAGCAGAAATAAAAGGATTATAAGAAAGGATGAAATTAATATTAATCTTGGTGCCCAAAGTTATAGAATTTTTTAGAATTCATTTATAGTATAAATCAATTCAATGTCTCTTCTTTTTAAAATGTTTAATAATTAAAGATTGATTGTAAAGTACGATATCTGAAAACGTTATGTATTATTTAAATTTATAATTTTAATTATATATAAAGTAATTGAATTTAATTGCGTAATGGAACATTTTGTTTTGAAATAATAACGAATTTACACGAGTTTTTTTAATTGTTTCTATTACCATAAATAACAGGTTTCAGTAATTGCTGATTTATATGGAGCAACAAATACGGGAGGAAGCGGCGGCGGCTTCAGAATAGATAAGCAAAATTGTTAGCATTTTATTTATTATTTTAATTTTTTCGTTTTTGTTGTTGTTGAAATTATCACAAACAACAAAATATATATAGAAAGGTATGGGCGATAGAATATGTATATATATATAAGTATATATAAATAAGAAAAAAAAATAAAACATTTGATAATAAACATATTTACACGTAATAAAAACAACATAAAAAATATACAAAATAAAAATTAAATATAAATAAACTGAAAAACCTGAATTGTCGAGTGATAAATTGTTTGCTTGGTGTACGGTGTGTGGTGTGTGGAAAAGACCAAAATATGAAATCATGAATCCAACAATGAAAAAAAAAGAACTCTATTTGCGCCGCAAGAATATTTTTTCAACGGAATTTGTAATTGAAGAATCGGTTTTTTGTTTTCGTTTGCTGCGTAAACAAAAACAATATTTTTCGCATTCATTTTTTTATTTTTGGTAACAAAAAAGTGTTTTGTTGTTATATTTTTTATGATTCTCACCTTTTTTGTTTTTTTTTTATTTAAATGTCGGTTGCTACCAATTCAGACAAATAATTTGTTTTTTATTTACTTTTCATATTATATCAATTTATAATAAATTGCATAATTATTTTTTTTTATTAATTGGAAATGTTTAATCAGCGTTAATAAGAACCAATAATAAATTTAATTTAATATTAATATTTTTTTTTTTAATGCAATTATGCAAATAAAAATGTTTTGATAAATATAATATAATTTTTTTAATTAAAAAAATCTTTTTTTGTTTTTTTAAAAAAACTATTTTTCAAAACAACTATTTTTTTTTAAGTACCAACAATAAAAATATATTTAGAAATATATTTATAGAACTTCTTCTGTATATTAAGTATACATAAACAACATTGGCAGATAAAAGTGTATACAGTCAAACTTCTATAACTCGAAATAACTATATTAGTTATAGTACAAATTTTTTATAACTCGAACTAAATAGAATGCAATAGGGTTTAAAGCGCAATTTATATGCAATTACAAAAGAATTATTTAACTCGAAGTTTCCAAAAGTCGAAACTTTTCTTTGTAAAATGGTACTTCAAGTTATAGAAGTTTGACTGTAATTGTAGATATGTTTCAAAATATTCATAACTAATAAAATAACACAAAAACAACTAATTTCAAATAAAAATTATTTTTTTTTTCATATTCTAATAATAAAAATACATTGTGACCGAAAAGTTTCCGGAAATAAATAAATAAAACGCAAAATTCTTAATCTTCATCAATATTTATTTTATCTCCTCAAAATATGCTCCATTAGAAGCGATACACAAATGCCAACGTTTCTTCAATCATCAAAACATTTTTTATAGGCGCTTTCCGGTATGGCTTTGAGTTCCCTCTGCGAATTCTGTTTTACGTCTTCTATGGATTCAAAACGCGTTCCTCTGAGTGGTAATTTGAGGTTGGGAAACAGGAAAAAGTCACACGGTGCAAGATCAGGTGAATACGGTGGCTGTTCGATGGTATTTATTGAATGTTTGGCCTTAAAATCGTTGATAATGTTGAACAAATTGAGGTGAATCGGAACAAGCCGGGCGTTGACACGTCGCATACACAAATTGTCCACCAAAATCAAACGAGCCATCTCACGACCGATGCCTAGCTCTCGTGCTATCTCTCTAACACTCACATGAGGATTTTTGAACACGATTTCCTTTGCCTTTTCAATGTTTTCGTCGGTGGTAGAGGTCGAAGGTCGTCCAGAACGCGGCATGTCTTCGACGGTCGTACGACAGTCCTGAAAGGCTTTGTACCACTCATAAACTTGAGTTTTCGATAAAACTGATTCCCCATAAGCCTTTTGTAGCATTCGCAACGATTCTGCACACGAAATTTCGTTCGAAAAACAAAATTTGATGCAAACTCTTTGTTCAATATTTTTTTCCATTGTTTTTTTCGCAACGCACTACT